GTCAGTACCGTCAGTACCGTGACTTTAAGAGAAAAAAAATCGGCGACGGTACCGTTGCAGGAGACACAACCAATATTGAAACGCTTCAACTCAAGTGCCTGTGCGCTGTCCCTAGTGCCAGTGGCATCCCACAGTGACTGTCATTTTCGCAAATGAAAACGCAAATGCTTGTTATAACGCTAAAACGCAAATAAAACGTCGCAAAAAATGCTCTTCTCTATAACACATACGAGTAGAAAAACAGCAAGCTAACGGTAAATTGGCCTTCACACAGTTACTTTCGGATATTTAATGAGTTTACAGAGAAATGCTTACTTGGTCTCTGTCAGGCGCCATTTCTGTTGTTCTTGTGTCATCTGTGGAGTGTGGTGATGATATGGTGATGTCACTCTATCCAAGTGATTTCATATTGTTAGAATAAAAATTATATTTAGACTAACAATTATAATTAATAATAAGAATAAGTTAAGAATGATACTTAACTCATTTTTACACTAAGAATAAGTTATTCTTGGTCTTGTTCATTATGGCGTCATCTATCGGACGTATCGCGCTATCTCGCGATTATTACACGACTTTATCATGGGCGCGCCCACAAGATAAAGATAAACTTACCAACAGTTCGTCCATTCTCATCTGTATTTACCACCGTTAACGTACAATATGAAATGTTCACGGACAGTCCTGTATTTCAAACAAATCACGCCCATCTTTCTAGGGCTCTGCTTAGGCATAGCACTCAGTATTATCGTTACCCCATTTATGGAAGAAGATTGTATAGGACTAGGACTAGGACTAGGAGGGAACGCGCGGTCTGTGATCTTATCCCTGAATTCGACGGACAAGTATGAACCACGGCAGTTAAATGCAGAAGAACGTGCTAAGCGTGACAATGTTGAAGATCGTAAACCGCCAGTTCGTCCCCGTTTTGTCAGAGATGAGCTTGGTATTAGGGATAAACTTTTCGTAGCCATTTTGACATCACAAGAGACTGTGGAAACGATGGCAGTCGCAATAAATCGCACACTAACTCACCACCTACCAAAAGTAGTGTTTTTCATGGAATCGCAAAACCAGCCTAAAGTAGGCAAAACTTTAACAATGGTGGCTTTTTCCGATGACCGACCACTGCTCAAGCCCTTTCATATGTTTCGTTACATCGGAGACCATTACCTAAACAGCTATGACTGGTTTTTTATCGTCCAAGACACAACCTATGTACGTGGTGAAAAGTTAATGGATTTTGTCAACCATTTGAGCATAAGTCAGGATCTTTATCTCGGCAAAACAATGGCCGATGTCAATGCAGTGTACTGTATGCTTGGTGGAGGCTTTATCCTCGGACAGGCAGTGATGACAAAAATTGTCAACGAACTTGACTGGTGTACAAAGAATGCCTTCTCAAGTGAAGCTGATGACAACATCGGACGCTGTCTTCTCCACAGCGCAAATCTGGCATGCAGTGAATCTGTAAATGTATGCAAAATTCCTCTGATGTATCCTTATATTTCTGTTTTATTAAAAATGTTTATATATATACATGTATGTACATATCTGCAACTATCTGGTCAATCCTCCTTTTATAGCAACTAAAATGTAACTTTTGGTATTTCAGGGGAAACAATTCAAAACATATCAATTGAAACAGAACTTCAACTTCGAAGCAGATATTAAGGTAAAGTTAGCGATATAAACATGGCCACTGTCGCTATAGCTTTTATTTTATGTGTATATACTAGACCACTATCTCATTAAATTCCTCAATTACTACATTGTGATTCCATGAAAATTAAAAACCACGCTTTTAAGCATATAAGTATTACATGGTAATAGTTTCACCAGCAATCAGCACCGACATCTGTTATCATCGATAGCATATTGACATTAGTCTGTGCTATATCGCGCACTCAGGTTGAGAAAAAGAAGGAAGATTTCAACTCCGCGATCACGCTGCACAGTGTTACCGATCCAGATGAAATCTACAGGCTGCATAGGTACTTCAGTGAGCTGGATCTGACTCATACGCACAAGTAAGTTGTCATCAAAGCTGATCACAGGTTATGTTACAACCCATGTTAGTCTTCACAACAAAAAATTTGAGCCACTTGCCCTTCGGGCAAAGTATTCTGTAAAATGTACATGCCCGAATAACATTTTAGTTGCCCATAATATTTTGCAGGATTTTTACCAATTAAAATTATAGAAATTAACATGGTTACAAATCATGCATTAATTAATTTACCTAATATAACCAAATGAGTCAAATACAAACAATCACAAACTAGTGTTCAAAAGGTTTTTTTATTTTACAATATTTTACAGGTTAATCTCTGAAGGAATTCAACAGGAAAACACATAGTATTCTGTCATCTCATTGTTTCTTCTTTGCCATGAAATCGTGTAATGTGTAAATAAATTTTTTCAATAGCTTCAACAGTAAAGTCAGTTGATCCATCACAAGCAAAATGATCTGTGAAGTCAGCAGCTGCTTTATCATTTAGATATGATGAGCCAACATCCAAACCTTTTAGTTTATCTAGCCTACACAAAGTGATATAACTCCTGAAGCTCATGTGAGTCTTAGTAACACCGTGAGTGTTTGCGAAATTTTATAATGAGCCTGTTATAGTCGGTATTTTTCAAATTTAAAAGACACTCCGCCGCCTTGCTTTGCGACACAGGGACAGATTTTGCAACAGATTTTTAATTTGCCTTGCAATGTACTTTTAAGGATTCAGGCTGTTTGACAGACTCAAGTCGAAAAAGTTTGAACCATAGTTTCACAAATGAGGAATCTACTTCTGTGCTGAACTCTGTACACACCGTACAAAACATCTTGTCTCCGTCAAATTTTAACCACTCGGTTGTCCTGCCATTGTGATTGAAATGTTCGCTTTCTTTTAGATTCGTAGTCAGTTTTGGACGAAGACTAATTGCCTTGACGTTGTACTGGTCATTTCCCCCAGCATACAGCCTTCGATATATCGAAGAAAGTTCATATCCAGGGTTTCTTCTACATAGGAGGCACTGCGGCACACCGCCGTTGTCAAATTTAACAACGCCATTGTGAAAATGTTCCTGTATTTACCCGCTGTTGTCAAAATGGTGTCAATCAAAAAATAAATAGATCACCACCAGTGTTTGCCACTGAGCAGAAAAGGCTGTAGACCTGCAGGGCCTATAGCTCCTAAAAGCTGCAGGCCCGCCAATTTTGGAGCAAATTACAGTAATAAAACAGCATATCATGTTCTTCCTTGTGTTTATTAGACATTATCAATGTCCATAATCATAATCCCTCTGTTTTTCCTTTCTCTCGTCGGATGACTGTTTATGCTTCTTTGCCGGGGGCTCACAATTAAGGAAACGCCACATTGTTGTTATATGTTGCTCCTTGGTAACTACGACTCTCCAGCTGCCACTTGACAGCAAGAGAGACAGACTGGTAGTCCATGGATAGCACATCGGAACTTCTATGGGGGTCTGGGGCCAGAACATTTTGAAATTATAAGCTCTGAGATGCAATCTAGAGCCATTCAGGGTACTCCAATAGCTTACAACTAGCAAAACGTTTTGTGGGAAAAGGAAAAAATTATTAAAATTTACCATTACTGTAAAATTTTGAATGGCACTGGAATTCCGTTGTGTTGAGTGTGTCCAAAGTAAATGTATTTTGTAGACATACAAGCTCTTACTAGGGAAGCTTTTATTTAGCTACACCCTGTATAAAATGATTATAAGTTTTTCCAACGTTAAAAACAATATGCCACGGTTAAACTAGAGGGTAACGCGAGCGGCTGCTTACTGCTGTTTGCATGACTAGTAAGTAATACGACGTGTTTATGCAGCATACAGTTGAGCTTATTGAAAGTGTGTTAAAACTTGAGACAATTATTTAATTATTTAACTGTATAATTTAACATGATAATGAACCTAAAATCTTAATAATTATTTAAAAGCAGTATATGATCTTTGTAATAACTACCCAGTGATAGCTTTATTGTTTACATCCAAACGTTGAAAAATGCGGCGGAATGTAGAATACTCACAACACCCTAGCGCACGTAACAGTGAGCCGTGCTGGCAGCGACCGGGAACGGTAGATAAACTCTGGCCAACACAATGTAGGTTCGGCTACCACTCGGGCCAAATAAAGCTCCACCCACTTTCTATCGTATTTTGGTATGCCACAGCTGCATAGCTCGGACTTCAGGAACTCGTGCTAACCGCTGTGCGTCGAACATCCCCCGCACCGTTCTTTGAATGCCAAACTAAAGTGATTCGCAGTGGGCGAACGTGCATTGTGTACATGTAGTCACCGGTTATCACG